TCCAGGGAATGGGGCATCCACAACCTCCTTGGGCAACTGTAGCAGTTCAACAGATGACGTGTGAATATACTTCGCTTTGGTAAAGCATGGGCTTAAGTGCTCAACCTTTCCCTTTGCTGCATTGATGTGGATGTCTGTATTACTTTTCAAGCAAAAGACAGAAGAATCATGAAATGGTAGGAAAATATCAGAAATGTCATTGTTAGCTGCCACTGCAGTGGGCAGTAAGTGGGTGGTTGGACTATATGATTGTATAGATCTTTTCCAGCCATAACGATTCTATGAATCTTTTATTTTGTGAAATAGATTGGCTAATCAATATTTGCGAAGTTGGGTTGTCCTTTCCCTTGCCAAGGCATTTTTGCAAATGGGGAAAATACAGGAAAACTCTTTTTGTCAATTAGGGAAGAAGTGATTTGCACGTGAAATTCTGTATCATTTCTACTGCAAACATTCAGAACCTGAAGCGTAATTAAAAGTCACCTTTTCCCCATTGTGGCCCCGACCTCTATTAGCACTGGTGCATGCAGAGTATTTACTGCATATCAGCAACCTCACACTCCTTCTTGGGGAATCGTAATCTTTTAGCACTTGCTTTATGTAGTCAAAGACATTTAATTTTTTAGTAGACACAAATGTGCCTCATGTTCTCTTTTTTTTCTTAGTCGTGGTGTGTCTTCACTTAGCTTGGCAGTACAGATGCATTTTTGCTTTGCTTTCTGCTGCTGTTTTTAAATTGTTTTGCTTGTCTGCTTGGACTGCTGAGTGTTCCATGAATAGTTACAACAGTTCTGCTTGATGTGTGGAAGCTCCAAATTGCAGCAGCAGTTTAAAACAACATCCCTGTTACTATTTTCTTTTCTTCTCTAAAATGAAAACAAAAGACGACCAGAACTAGCAGAATTTTCTAACACAAAAAGTCCAAGGGCAGAGCAAGAACTTGTAAGCCAGATGCAGTGTTGTTTTATCAGGTGCAATATCATTTTTATCAGTTCTCTGAGCATTGATTTTGAAAGTGTGTTTGTGGAAATTCTGGCCAAGCGTTGCATCCACTTCTGTGGTTTTTCTTTTTTCTTTTTTTCTCTCTCTCTCTTTTTTTTTTCTTTCTTCTTTTTCTTTTTAATTCACCCTTATTTGAGGCATGGAGGTGATGTGTGTGTCTCTGTTTGATGTTTACATTTTGAGATTTAAAACTTTGAAGGGAGAGTTCATTGGGCAACCTGGTCTAGTATAAAATGTGGAGGTTGTTGGCCCTGCCTCTGGCAGAGGGTTTTGAGCTTGATGATCCTTGAGGTCCCTTCCAATCCAAGCCATTCTGTGATTCTATGATTCTATGGAGTCCTCTTGCATTCAGCCAAAATAAATATATCCTGATGAGATATAAGGATGATACTCACACATCATCCTGTCAAAGTTACCTCTTTTCTATTAGGGAAATGCAGTAGAGAGTGAATTGCAGGAAATTGGACAAACCCTGCTCTCTCAAATTAGCACCCAAATTTCTGGGTAGTTGTTACTTTATGGTCCAACGGTGGGCACACGTTGCTGCTTGATATTTATTTCTCTTGGTGGGTGTTACAGGAACTCCAAAATCACAGAACCACAGGATGGCTTAGGTTGGAAGGGACCTTAAAGGTCATCTAGGTCCAACAAAATGCAGGTGTGTATGGCACTGAAATGAATGCTGCTTCTGTCTTTTGCAGCATTTAAGTTATTTTACTTTTACTTTTGGGTGTGCTTGGCATTTTAAAAGACCCCCCCCCCCCCCCCCCCCCTCTCCCCAGAGGTTTCTGCCAGATATTTTAAATGCGGAAAGAAATTGAAGTCTGCAATCTGTGTTATTTGGGGTGGAGGGGGACGATTAATATTGTACTGTGTCTTGCTCAGTTCTTGTAATTCAGGACTTGTTTGCATCTTGCTTCATCTGGGGCTTCCTCATCAATGTTTTTAGGAGCATATGGACACAGGATCCCTGGGCCAGGACAAAAATGTATCAAATTCAGGGCTTTTAACACTGATGGATATTTAAGGAAAGAATGGATATAATCACGTAAATAAACTCTTCTCTCCTTCCCCCCCCCCAAAAAAAGCCAAACCTCATTCAAAAAACCTCCATCACTAAGTATCATTCCCCATGCAATTAGAAATTTACTGAAGCCATATCATGCCCATGATATGCAGTAGCCTCTGATGGAGCCTATCCTGCCATATTACTAACTCAGAAATTTGAGTTATGTTAAAAATAACAAACAAAACTTCCCCAAACCAGGGTCACTGCTGTCTATAAAGATCTAAAATCTTATCTGCTTCTGCTCCTTTCTCAGTGATTTAATGAAAGCTGGATCTTGTTAGTAACAAGTGCAATTCCTAAGGGACAGGTAAGCCCAAGCTAATTTCTTGTGTTATATAGCCCCATATATAAAGTGTAGGAAAGTGGTGTCTTGGAAAGCTGATTTAGGAGGAACTGTGGAAAGAGAAGAGTGGGAAAATCTCTAGCAGTAAGACCCTGTGCACTTTGATTAAACACCATTTAATGCTCTGGATTTGTGTCAACCTGACAGTTCTAATTCAGGACTTTATTTATGGCTGGGTTGGGGCTGAATTGTCTCACACAATTATTGCTGCATATGGAATGGGTGAGAGGCAATGGAAAACTGGTTGCTCTCTCTGCCTCTCCTCCCAATGGAATTGCTCAAGGCCTTGCAGCACCATGTTGGGCTCTTTTAACATGTCCATGTCTCTCATGCTACTTCATGACCCGCAATACCAAAACATGGAAGCTTCTGAAAGCTCTTTTCACAGCTGTTAACATTTCTGTGTTCTTTATGTCCAGAGAAGGTCAACAAAGCTGATGAGGGATTTGGAGCACAAGTCTTATGGGAAGTGATGGGGGAACTGGGATTGTTTGCCATGGAGAGAAAAAAGTTCAGGGGAGACTGCATCACTCTGCAACTCCCTGAAAGGAGGTTGTAGCAGCTTGGAGGTTGCAGTGAACTGGGAGTTAGCCTCTTCTCATCATGACTAGTGATGATAGGACAAGAGGTAATGGCCTTGAATGGTGACTGGAAAGGTTTAGGTTGGATGTTGGGAAGGATTTATTCTCTGAAAGTGTGGTCAGGCATTGGAACAGGCTTCCCAGTGAAGTGGTGGAGTCACTATCCCTGGAGTTGTGGCACTGAGGAACATGGTTTGGTGGATATGGTGGGGATGGGTTGACAGTTGAATGTGATGATCTTGGAGGTCTTTTCCAAGCTTAATGATTCCTTGATTCTGTGAAATCTAAGAGATGTATCCTCAGGGCCACCCTGAGCAGTGCGTTAGGAGGGCTTTTCGTTTTGTTCAAGATTCAGTTTTTGCCTTGCCCTGTTGCCGACGTTCTGCTCTTTCAAATGCATGTTGAGAGCATGTTAACAGCACTGGGAGATCTGGTTAAGGGATGCAGGCTGTGTTGCAGTCACAGTCTGCTGCCTGGAAATACGAATTACAGTTCCTGAGTATATGTAATGCTTCAGCTCAGAGGTGCAATGTGCCAATAACAGCAGCTGTTTAAATGCACTGTAGCATGTCAAGTGGACAAGGTCTGTGGTGCTTTGAGCTTGGCCAACATTTGTGGTAGAGCAGTTTTCCATAAGACTGCAAAAGGTGGAGGCCAAATGGGGTTAAACCTTGGGAAAATCTGCTCTAGAGCTCGTTCCAAAAGTGTAAGTGGACAAAAGACTTTCTGTGGTGACTATTATCTATCAAAATATGGCCCTTTTTAAAGGTTTGTGTACGTGAGATATCCTTTCTCTGTAGTATAGCCAAGTCCAGCTTCACACCCACCTTTCTCTGGCAATGATGAAGCATTGGAGGACCTCAGTTTTATGGGGCTTTATTTTGGGGAATGAAGATAACCAAACAGACGAAATAAGACATTAAAACTAAACCAAGCACTCAAACCTTCTGTCTCATTCTGTGTACTCCGTGTAGGAAAGATTCGGGTACCTTGGCCAAAGTGGGACTTAAGGAAATCACTTGGGAAGCACCATTAGCAATTCTGGGCATTGTCTCCTTTGCTGTTGGGATATCAGGAAGAAATAATAGGAGAAGCCTATCCCAGGGATGCTGTGGAGGAAGATAAATGTGCAGAGCTCCCATCCCCTACCTGCCCCAAATGTTTTTTTCTTCTCATTGCTTCCTCTCCATTTTCTGAAGGCAGGACCTTGCTCTGCCTATCCATGTTGTTGTGCTTGCAGTTTCTCATTCATTTGCAGTTCTGCTATGCCCACTTGATAAATGAGCAGAAATATTACTAATGCAATTGCTAGTAATTCCTGCAGAGGCTGCCTTGATCCGTGTAAGCCATGTGTGGTGCATCTGATCATTGCGTTTCCTGCCCTGATGATGCTGGCGAAGGCATCTGGCCTTTCTAGTGCATGTTGTATAATCTGGCACTGTGTAAAGCTCCATCGGACCCCCTAATTGGGCTAAATTTCTAGTGAGGAGGAACCCACACTGATGAATTAATGGCTAATCAGCATTTTCATTAAAGAGAGCATGCAGGAGTTTGGATTCAGTGTTTTATTACATCATTCAGCTGAGCAGCACATGATTTGTCTGTTGGGACAGAGTAGGGCTCCCCATCAGTCCTCTTCTTATTGAAGCAACACTGTGATTGAGACAAGCAAGTATTATTTTTCCTACAAGAATTTTGCTTCGAGAAGAAAAATGCATCTTCTTTGTATGATGCTCTAGCCCTGTGTTACTGGTGTTTCCCTGTGTGATCAAGTAGCATTTTGCAGGTGGTAGTATTGAAAATTTCCTGCACTGAGTGTGACAGCACATCATCCTTGCTATAACCTGTGTGTGTGCATATATAATATATAATATTTTGGTGACAGCTCTAACATAGATGTTCTCTGCTGGTCATCCCCTTTCAGAGGCTGCGCTGGGAGTTTAGAGACCCTTTCAAAGTGATGGTGGTCTTCAGTATTAATAGATCTCTCTTTTTGTCTTTGCAGCCACCCAGATTGATCCCAGTGAACTACAGGAACTTTTTCAGGAGACTTCAGCCAATGTCTTCCGAATTAACTCCAGTGGTGCGTATAATGAGAGATTTCCTGGTCGTTTGTGTGCTGTCCTGCTGATGACTCCTGTGCATGTACACGGTGTGTGACAGCTCCTGTTGTCAGGGAGCAAATATTAATGCAGTTTTCTTGCTGCTGCATCTCATGAGCACCAGCACATGTCCAATACGCAGTTCATTATAAGATGTAAAAATATTCCACCATATGTTGCATTAAACAGGCTCAGATATATTCCAGTTCTTACGGAGTCCACATCCTTTTCTATTTTTAATCGTGTCATCTGTTACAATAGGGAATTAGAACGCAGAAAGGTGGAACAAGCTCATTTTCTAATATGTCGCAGCACTACTGTGTTCAGAGCCTGTCATACAAACCTGAAAAACATCTATCTCCCTTATAAAAACACCAACACCAAAGCTCTTCTATTACTCTTCACTCTGAAGATTGAACAGTGATGCTCAATCATCAATATGATTCTCCTCGTATCTCCCAGCACAGTGGAGGTGCAGAGTTCTTCTCTCCTTTGGAGACACGCTCTGGCTCATCAGTGCCTTGCTGGGATAGAATGTAGAGCTGTATTTTGCAGACAGATAAAAACTAATGTTAAATAGCAGCTAATGTTGTTGTATCCCAGCTCTAAAGCATTACTGCCAGACAAGGGTTTAAGATTGTTGAGTGCTGATGTTCTGAATCTCCAGATCAGCTTCTCTCTCTGGTCTGCTCTGTGTATAAGGGCATCAGGTAAGAAAGAGAGCTGAATGGGATGCAAAGAAAGGATCTTAGTTTCTCACAAATTGTTTTAATTCTCCCCATGTATCCTGGGGAAAGGTCCCAATTTTTCTAGTAAGGGATCTTTGCTAGAAGGAGGATGGGAAGCAATTCTTCTGAAATACAGGCATTATTTGTCTATAAGGATTTTTGTATGCTGCAGTACAGTCATGCCTCCATCTGCCAGGCAAGTTTGAACACACATTTTTCTATGACTGTAAGGAATAGATAGATATGAGTTTGCTTTTGACAGTCATTTTCATCTTGAGTCAGAGCTTCAGGACCTCCTGTAGCACCGAAATACTTCTCACCAGTCAAACTTCGCTGCTTTCCACTATCTCAGAAAGTGAAGTGGAAGGTGAAACCAGGTTCTTGGTAGGCTCTATGAAGGTATTTGGGTACCTGGTTTGCTGTAAAATCAGAAGAAAAATAATTCTTCACACTTTTCTTCTGTGTTTTCGGATGGAATAACCCCATACAACTAGACAGGATGGGTGTTTGCATGCTTTAAAAGCATTGTGAAGAAAAGATCTGGGAGTACTAATGAATCAGAAGTAGAACATGAATTCACAATGATCTTATTCTCATCTCAGTGGGAAACCAGACAGAAACTGCAGAAAAGATGGAGCCATGTCTGTCAGATGCTCGTGGTGGAAGAATGGGAGGCAGTAATCACAGGCTGAAACACAGAACTTCACAATTCAATGTGATGAAAAAAATTCTGACCATCTGGTTGATTAAACATGGCAGCGGGAGCCCAGGAAGGCTGTGGGATCTCTGTTCTTGGAGATATTAAGAGCTGGAGTAGGACCCTGCTTTCAGATGGACCTTCTTGGAGCAGAATGTTAGACTAGAGATCCTCTGCATGAGTCTATGATTCTTCTGTAGTTCTGCTACACGTACAACATGATTCTAAATGAGTCAAAGCAAAGGCAAAAATGGGGAAAGAACACTTCATGGTTGTTTATTGTTTTTGTTGTTTTTGTTTTGGTGGTTGTTATTTTTAAGAGGAGTAACTGATTGATCCATTACACAAACAGTTGTTTAAGGAACGTGTTATTTATGGTCTTCTGGAAAACTATTTGCATACCACAAGTTTGGCAGCCTTCTTCAAAGAGCACAAGTTGAGAAATTCAGCCACCGAAAGTCATCTTTGTGCTGCACTTCTGTATGTCCTTTGTGATAGTGGAGAGCAGCAATGGGACTGACAGCACTTGGGGTGAGCTATAACCATGTACTGCAGAAGCTTGAGAAATTTGTACGATCACTTGTGATTGGAAGAGAGCTCTGGAGGTCATCTGTACCAACCTGTCCTTGTAGAGGATGCTCTCTCGTCCCTTCATTAGCTTTGTGCCTCTTCATTAGACTCTTACCAGTATGTCTGTGTCTCTCATGTACTGGGGAGCCCAGAACTGGATCCACTAAACCAGGTATGGCTTCCCCAGGGCTGAGCAGAGTGGAAGTCTTGCCCTCTAATTCTGCCTGAGACACAATTCCTTTCTTTGCTGGAAAAACACCTTATTGGTTTAAGTTCTACTTGTTGTCCACCAGGACTCCCTGGTCCTTTTACCTGATCTTTTCTTTGAGAAAACCTCAGTGCCTTGACCTGGGCTTATGGCTGCTGTGGCATTTTGAACCTCCCAACTGTAGTCAATGGTACTTGGCTTACAGATGTGGGTATGGCTTTATTATACAGGAAAACCTGAATTAGCACTGGTCTTACTTTTTCCAGCACTAATGGTGTTACTTTGACAATGATGATATAGTAATATGCTGGCTGCTGGCAACAAATGATTTGCTGTGAAGCTTTGCAGGCTGCTTGCATGCTGTCAGTACCCAAGCTAGCCAAGTTAGGGCTGAGTTGTAATCCCAATTCCTGCTCTTCTAGTGGAGTTTACCCTGAGAAATCCTTCAGACGAGTGCATTATCTTTGTTGAAATGCTGCAATCCAATTTCTGCTTTTGTTCTTTGCTGTAATTACATTTATCCCTTCAATTAGGTTTTGAGTAATTTCAGGTGGTCTTTATTTCTCCTCTTAAGACTCACTCTTAGAATGAGTGAAGACTTGCTTTCAGTTAGAGTTGCCTGTACAGAATGCTCTCTGAAGCAGGTATTGACAGTGCCTATACTTAAAACTGTTTTGTAAAATTGGAGAGGTTACAGAGAAGAGCTAAGGCAATTGTTTGAAGTCTGCAAATCGGACTTTAAAATGCATGCCATCCAAATTTCTGTTTGAGACATCTGAGAGGGCTTGATCATGGCGTGTAAGTACCTCTCTGGGAAGAAAAACATCAAATAGATACATAGGGCTCATTAATCTAACATTCTCACAGATAATGAGATCAGGAGATAGGAGTCAAAGCTAGACAAATTCAATCTTTCTGTATGCGGGTAAGTAGCCATTAGAACTGCTTATTGAAGGGACGTGATGGATGCGGTGTGGCTTCAAACCTTTAAATCAAGATTCAAATGTCTTTTTATAGGAGATACTTTAGTCCAGCTGCAGTCTATGGTCTCAACATAGGAGTGATGGGATGAAATTTTATGGTAGGAAATCAGACAGGATAATCAAAATAGCTCTCTCTGGCCTTTAAAATCTATGAATCTATGAATTTATAATGCTTTTTAAAGTGCTTTTAGGTTGAATAAATGCCCATAAGATACTGTACTCTTCACCACCTCTGTTATTTTTGTCTGCTAAAGGAAGTTTGATTCAACTTGTGTGCGTCTTCTTCGCAAGCCCTTCCCCAACAGTGGGTCCACCTTCGCAGGGGAGGAGATGCTGAGTGTACTACAAAAATTTTACACAGCTAATCCAGCCCAGATAAGGAACTTTGCAGAGGTGTAAAATGGGAAAGGATGCCCAGGATCCCTTCTGCCTTGCACAGCTGCACCATATGGTCTCTTCAGTAAACCCAGCAAACTCTGTCTCAGAGCACGTAGCAAAAGTCAGTGATGCTTTTGTGTATCAGCACGCAAGCAGCTGAGCAAGAAGTGAGTGGCTGCATTGCACGTGCTCACCAGATGTTGCCCTGTGCTCCTGTTGGTACCAAGCATGGTGTATTGAACGTCCTTCAGGGTTCCATAAATCCAGGCAGTTTCCCTTTTTCTGCCTTACCCCAAACTCATTTGGGACTTCCAGGTTCTCCATTGTGTTTGGAGACCAAACTAGGCATCTGAAATGCTCTCTCATTGACAGGCTAAAGGTGTCATGAGCTCTGTACTTCTGTTGTTTGAGTTCTTTTTGCTCTCCTTACTATTTTTGCAGAAACCTGAGACTTTAAAGTGATTTAAATTCTTCTTGGCCATTTGAGGCCTTGGCTTCCGACGAAGGAGAAATGTTGCAGCTCTGAGCTGATCTTGGCAGAACTTACATAGAAGTGCTTCGTGCTCCCCCTTTCTGCTATGAAAATGGACATCTTTCTTGTGTGTTTAATAAAATCCTTAGATCCATTGCTTATGTTTATGAGCTACTGGATCATTCTACTGCCAGTTCATGAACATAGAGACATTTTTTTTTAAGTCATCTCCTACAGAATTGTCAAGGGGTAGTGGGAATTTTTACCTGTACTTTGCATCTGCTTTCTCTTTGTCTAGTTCTTCAGGGACTTTCCCTATTGAGCATAGGGAAGGTTGTCTGATAAGGCTTTGGCTTCAGTGAGTTTTATGTTTTGTTACTCAGTTGATTCAGCCTGTTCCAATAAATATATAAACTCTTGTAAAAGGAGCTGGCTTGATGCCTCGTGGCTAAAGGGCTGATCACTGGAGGGTATACTGCAAGAATCAGAGCTGTTCTGCCCAGATGGAGAATATGAGTCCTCTAATGGGTCCCTTTCCTCTCTAATTCCTGTTACTTGCTTATTAATATCTTCCCATGACAGATTGGTGCCACGTGCAATCCCATTGTCTTGATCTGAGAGGCTGAGCAAAGGGTTTTCCAACATCCCACAGGTATGATAAAGTCTCCATTTCTGTCTTGGGGTAGTTTCTCATCCCCCATTGATTTTAAAAATTTTGATGATGTAGGCAATCAGTGCCTAACTTTCAGTTTATGTAAATCAGTACAAGTCCAGCAGCAGTGACCTCTGTGGAACATCTTGGAAGACTAGCATATGCCTTTTAAATATCAAATATGCAAGGCCTGTGAAGTAAGAAGTTTGTTCTACCATTGGCTTCATGGCATTGCTCCAGTGCATATTGACATGTTGCTTCTTTGGTAGCTCAAGTATTCAGAACTGGTAAATTCCAAGGGATTTTCCATATCCAGCACAAGAACCATGCAGATTTCAATAGAGCTATTCTTAGCAAAAGCAAGGTAGTTCTATCCCAAAAGATGAAGGAGCTCAGTCACACTAAGATCCAGGAGGCTCAAGTCTGCGTTTCAGTTCTGCTATTTCCCAGGTAAAAGCCACATCAAATGCCAACATTTTGGCTGTTCCAGAGCTCGTCCTATTGGGATTACTGACCTTTATATAAATAGAATTCTGGAATCACTGAATCATTAAGGTTGAAAAAGACCACTAAGATCATCTAGTCCAACTATCAACCCATAACTACAATGCCCTCTAAACCGTGTCCTTTAGTGTCACATCTACCCTTTTCTATAACTAAAACCTCTAGGTTTAGATCAAATTTTATGGCGGAGACTTAAAACAGAGTCATTTTCTCACCTGACTGACAAGTGATTTTCTCCTCTCTTGCATTCCCATCTTAGATTTTTTCTGTGTGTATGTGTGTTTCCCAAAATATTTAAAAAATCAGAAGATCTTGGGTTTATCCCAGAGTGAAATTTTGTTTGCAAAGTGTCAGGACGTTTAGTCAATTTAGTGCAATAGGAAAACTGCTTCCTCCTTCATTCTTCTCCAGAGTAGGCAGTAGCAAAGATCCATTCTGCTTTTGCAAAGAAGTACCTGCATGTCAAATCTGTCTTCCCTCAAGCTCTTGTTCATATCTAGGAAGATGCTGGTAGAGTAATAGCTTCATGAGTTTCCTTGGTTTTGCAGCTTGGGTTAGAAAGGTACCTGGATGCTCTAGCTGATGTTCTCCCTCCTTGAGCTGCACCAGTGGCATTAAAACATTCTTAGAAATTCAGCGTACACACAAATGTGTTTGCTTCCTTAACTCACTCTCCATTCTCCAATGACATTAGAATAAGCACCATGCTCTGAAGTGCCCCAAAGGGCTGGTAGGTCCTGGAGTATTTTTAGATGATGCTAAATTTTGTCTTTAAAATAGACAGGTTGCATGAGGGACTTGAATTGTTAGGATTACAGAACAGAAGGAGGAAATTATAATATCTGTGAGATTTTTTTCAGGATCAGTGCTTTTATCCTAGAGAAGCAAATGGCTATTATTTAAGACTGACAATTTATTCTTTAAAGTACGTCTAGCAAAGTACAATAATTATTAGCTTAACTGTAGACAGTTACTTAAGGTTTTGTCTCAGTGAATTATCAAAGTTTGTACTGAAATCTGCTTTTGAGATGTAGCAGTATAGTAAGCAAGGTGAAAATATCTGTTGGTGTTGGATACTCATGTTGTCCAAGGACATTAATTAGTCAATTTGGTCCTTTTTTTGTGTGTCCGTACGTCTTTTGGTGTCAACCCACAGAAGCCCAGAAGAAAAGAGGGTGTTTGGTTTTTCCTGTCAGGGGAAAAATAGTTAAGTGACTTGTTCAGAACTACAGACCGAGATGGAATCTGCAGTCATTAAAGTAATAGATGTCTTAAATTTGTACTGGAGTAGTTGACCCATGTTATTTATGTGTTCTTTTTGTTCCATAAGTATTGAAGCATAACTGATAGCAGGGTCATAAGTTCTTACAGCTGGAAGCATCCCAAGACAATCCCACATGTAAAGAGTGAGAATGTCATTCATTTTGCATCTTTCATTGTGGAATGTCTTAAAGTGCTTTACGTACTTGATATGCTAAGTCCAAAAGAAATGATCTTCTGTTAATGTGAAATGATGAGATGTGACTGTGAACACCCACAAATATTTCTGCATTTCTTTTCTTAAGTGTGAAGTTATTGTGTATTGCAATACGAACCATCTTTCCTACTTCCAGCTCTGATTAGAATCACTTAGACTTGAGCATTCTTCTCTCCTTATAGAAAAAGCCCAATGAGCTCTTTAGCTAACCAGCAGATAATAACAGTAAAACACATTTTATCTGAGCTAAAAGACAGAAGAGTGAGTATAAAAGTCTTGAACAATGAATTAAAAGCTAATGGAATGAATGATAGAACTCAACTTCTTGGAGGCTATTTGGAATAGTTAATATTTATTAATTAGTAGTTATTCTATCCTGTCATACCACCCATGAAATAATCATCTCCTGGGGACTCAGTTTTATCTGTTTTGTGTTAACTGGCATTCCCCTATATTGTCACAAGGTACTTGTTCAAACACTAATTCATTGTGTGGTTTTGAAAGGAAATAAATTAAAAGATGAATGAAAATCCAGTATGTTTTTCTCTGAAAATGCTCTTTTTCTTTCTCTGCTGTTGACAGTGACCTCTCTGGAAAGAAGTCTTCGATCTCTGGGGACCTCCAATGATAATCAAGAACTGCAGGATGGACTGTGAGTCTGTTTTGAATCGCTACGCATCTCTCTGGGTCCCAACCTTTTCATTTTTTCCTCTCATCTATCCTCTCCCTTTCTTCCATCCTTTTATTCATAGCCGGACACTTTTTTTGTCAGGCTTACTTCATTTTGTTCCATTCTGTTGGTGATTAATGATAGTAGGACATGTATTGATTGTACAAAGCTTTGCTTGTGCTGGTTTTGGGTGGTAGAGAATGGTAGGTAGAATACAGGAAATGATGGCCCACAGTGAAAGATGTGTTTTTGTGGTTGTGTGTGGGTTGTTTGTTTTGTTGCTTTTTAATGTGAAGCCAGGCTTGAGTACTTGTGTAGCTTTTTCCTTTCTCTTCTTTTTATTTTTCTTCCTTTTTTTTCCCCCCTCTTTGCCAAAGTCAGTGAATTGAAGAGGAAAAGAAAGAAAGGGAACAAGAAAGGTATTTCATATGCGGAGATGTGTGTTGTGGCATTGAAACTTGCATCACAGGGTACAGCACAGAGAAAACGAAACTTCAATTTCGCTTGCAATAGATACAGTTCATTAAACTCTCTTCTGGATATGTGTATACACAAACATGCACAGTTAGTTTTCATTGTATGCATGCTAATTAGAGAATTAAAATGGCTTTTCCAAATGTAGCACAATTTATTAAAGCTGCTTCCCTTCATGCAGCCTGCATACGAAAATCAAGTACTTAGGACATGGTTCTGATTCTGTATATATAACTGCATTTCCTAATGAGGTTCAGCTGTGAACGGAGGGAAGATTTTGATTTCTATTTCTTTATATTAGCATTACAATCTGAAGAAGTGCCTGATGGACTTGACTCACCTTTTTGATGCAATATAATCTCTCAGATAGGTTTGCAGTCTCTCTCCTTCTCTCTCCAATTCATTGCTATCATCTGCGCATCAGATCTGCTCTAATTCACATCAACACTGTTTTGCAAACTGGAAGAATAAAAATAGTTACAGTAATAATAGTCAGAAGATTTGGAACTAAATTTAGGGGACAGGAGAGGATGTGAGAGTAAAGAGTCAGACTGTATAGATCAATGTAATCAGGAAAGATGTTTACACGTACAAAATTATTTGTAGCATAAACCACCCCAGTAACTGCTGAAGATCCTTTATCCAGGAAGGCTTTTGCTCACCCAGAACATCTCTTGTGCTCATGCTCCTAAACTACTCCTTTTTTATTTAAGAATCGTTTCCTTGGCTCTTCAGAGTGTTTCAACAGTGTGGTTAGATAATTTTCTTCTTTCTTGAGCAGCTACATAAATAAATCCATAATGCACTAATTGCAATAATTATTTTTGATCTTAGAATTATCATTAATTGTCCAGATAGCTAAATGTAGCATCTTTTTATTTTAACTGTGCTTCCCTGCTCCTGTTGTCAACCCCAGAATTCCTCCCACTCTCTCTTCCACCCTAATGGTCTATCCCCTCTTCCCAGGCTCTAGCAAAAGGTTTCCCTTGATTTCTCCTATTTTCCTTACTGCATCTCCAGACAGAACAGTTGCAGGATATCCAGCAGAAAAGGACCAGCAATTGCCTTCCCCTCAATGTCCCATTCTTTTTTTCCTGTCCTAACACTGATGTATGCTTCACATTGACCCCATTTCTTTATATTATACCACCAGATGTATGCATGCAAGTAGCCTGAATGCTCCATGTGCATCTCTGCCTTTTCTCTCATGAGAGCTGCACCAGCAAAAAAGCAGCACACCATGAATCATGAGAGCCACATGGGCTGCATATATCTCTATGATCAGGAGCAAGTAGGGGGTCAGTTCTTTAGGTGAGACCTCTGGAGCAGCATTTTCTGCTTCCCCAGCTGCAAATCATGGCTTAACCTCTTGCTCCTTTGCCACTTGAACCCTTTTCTTCTGAGGTTGATGCATGTTTCTCCTTGAATATCCTCTAACGTGGAAGATGGGTGGAGAGAAAAGACTGAGCATTTGGAAAGTTTATATCCTTGGCTATCAGAAAAATGATAGTTTTTGTGGATATCTAAATGTGAGGATATCTTATCTGTCTGGGATTGTTTGATCTGTAGAAGAAGAGGCTCAGGGGACACTTCAGAACTATCTCAAAAGGAGGTTGTAGCAGGGTGGAGGTAGCACTCTTCTTTCCAGTAACTGACAACAGGATGAGAGGTAACAGCCTTAAGTTACTCTGGGGGAGCTTCAGATTGGGTATTAGGAAAAATTTAGTCTCAGACGGGGTAGTGAGGTATTGGAACAGGCTACCCAGGGAAGTGGTGGAGTCACCATCTGTGGAGGTTTTCCAGAAAAGGGTAGATGGCACTGAGGGGCATGGAGGGTTGACAGTTGTACATGATGTTCTGAGAGGTCTTTTCCATCCTTAATGGTTCTCTTTCATACTAACTGGATGAATGTCATTCTGCTAAAGTGATAGGCAGGTGAGAGGTGTCAGAGTATTTGAGAGTAGGGGGATGACAGTGAGCATAGGACATTAGGTATGTACAATGGTCTCTACACTGCAGAAACATTTGTTTACCTCGCTGCAGGGTCTTGCTAATGCATAAATAAAGAAAGCAAAGTTGCCTGACTTTTTAAAATTCATGTACTTTCCACCTCTTGTGCACAAAGCTTAGAAGGGCATCAACAGGGATGCTGATTCAGATGAGGGCAGACTTCTCACTGTCAAATTGGGCTGTTCCCTTTTCTGAAATGGTTTCTCTGCCTTTGATAGCTGAGTCATTCAGGATAAGGATGCATCTGTGGCAAGTGAATTTAGGACGAGTTCATCCCAAGTAGAGTGCCAGCTCTAGTCAGTGAGACAGAGCTGGCTGCTGAAGTGTGAGCAGGATATATATGACACTCAGCAGTCAACTCTTTCCAGAGCCAGCTCAAAGATTTACATGCTTAGATCTTGAAATGCTGGAAAGTGAAATGTAAATGCCCATAAGAAGCTCTAGATGGAGTTGGCTGAATGCAGCTGACCCTGAATTAATTGGGAATGGAGCAGGAGTAAGAGGAAGGTAGATGCATGGAGCTGGAATTAGGAGCTAGGATCATTAGGCATTTCTGAGGCATGATACACAGCTGCACCCATCCTGTTGAGTACTGATACAGTGCAAGAAAAATATAATGATTTTTTTTTTCTTTCCCTAACTTTTAGTTTAATAATCCAGGCTCCCAAGCAATATATTTCACTCATTGGTCCTGTGATGTGGGATTGAGGGAGTTCCCTGATGTAAAATAAATGCCCAGATAAATCATTGTCTCCAAGAGAGTGAGAACCTGACCTAGTCTTGTGACATCAAGGTTATGCAGTTGCAAATATCTTTTGATGACTATCTCAAAGCAATTAAATTGAGCTGTTAGTAGCAGAAAGAGTTCATGATTTTCTTTCTCTTGAAGCTTGTTGACCATAAGAGTGTTCTATGCTTTCCAAACCAGGTTTCCTGTATTGCTTACATTCAAGTATATCTTTTCATTGGATGTTCAGCACTGGCTTAACTTATTGCAGATATAAGGTTAATATGGTACTGTATTGAGTTACAGTCACACTACCCTTTTTTGATGTGTTTGGGATATAGCCATGACTCCATGCTGCAGCATTTTTGGATTCTTTACCAGTCTCCAAGAGGAGAATTTGCTTGTTTAAGGAAGGGTTGTGAGGAGGATATTTTGGGGACTTTTAGTACTGCTGGAAGTTTTGAGTGTGCAAAATGTGTTGATTTCTCCAGATTTGAAGGAAACAAAAAAAACCAACAAATTTTGGCTTCCACTTCCTTTCTCTGATTGATTTGTTGCTTTTTTTTTTTTTTTTCTTTTTTCAATTCACAGATTATAGAAATATATAGATATGTTTTTCTGCAGCTGACAGGGAATTCAAATCTACATCTGTACAGTGCATGAAAATAAGCCTCCTATTCTTGTAGAAATGACATGGCAGTATTCAGTGCTCTCTATTATATATCCTTCCCATTTCTCTGGAAAAATCAGACATCCTGGCATCACAAGATCTGTATCAGAGAACCCACAAGGACATAGATCCTCCTGTTTAAGCAGAAAATTCCTACATCCACAGATTGAGTGTCATATCTAAGCAGTATTAGCGAATATATACCCACGAAGCAATCACTGTCTGCAGAACACTGATGAAGTGCTTGCTTTTTGATGTATAATACTTTAATGATTTTATTAGGGCTTTGCAACAGAATTGATTACGGTGCAGTACTGCAAAAGAGTTTCAAATTATTTTCCGAGTGGGAAGCTCAGTTTGAGGTCTGAGCTTCTCAGGGGTGAGACAAAGGCAATGATGCTGAAAGGGGCAAAAAGTGCAGCTTTTGGATCCTGGCTTTTGGCCAGACAATAACCTCAAGATGTACCTGTTTTTCCTGGGAATGCAGATTATGCACAAATTCATGTATGGCTTGCTTGCTTATTGCTGGGTTTAAAAGGAACTCGATCTTCATCATGGTCCCCAGTAAATTTTCCATTATCCCAGTAAATCACTGGGGTAATTTCTAGGAATGCCTTCATCAGTTTCTCTTGCCATCACATGTCCATTAAATCAAGTGATGCCTGTGGTGTAACAGTGCTCATACGACCTATGCAGGATACCCCATTTAGGGTGTTCTCAGGGAGAGATATAACTCTGTAAGCCCAATGCCTGTCTGCACATCCAGAATTAATTAAAGAGTGGCAGTGAGCTCTTCAGTCCACTTGGACACATTCTTTGTTGTTTTGCTGGATTTGTAGAAGTGCTTTGAAATACTTTGGTGTTGGTGATGTAGTTGTTACTTCTGGAGTGCATTGAACAATGGCTGTTGCTTCATGTGGCACCTTCATGTCATCTTCAGTATGGATAAGTGATCTGGAGGGTGGCATCCCATGGCAGGGGTGTCAGAACTAGATGATATTTAATGTCCCTTCTAGCCCCAGTCATTCTATGATTCTGTGACCCTGTATAAGTCATCTACAGATAGGAGTCAATGTGGCTTTAGTTAATGGCATCTATCAA